CCTCCTCCCTTCTCCTCCTCCTCCTCCTCCTCCTCCTCCCTCCTCCTCCTCCTCATCATCATCATCATCATCATCATCATCATCATCACTACCACCACCACCACCACCACCACCACCATCATCATCATCATCATCTCATCCATCATCATCATCATCATCATCATCATCATCATCATCATCATCATCATCATCATCATCATCATCATCATCATCATCATCATCATCATCATCATCATCATCATCATCATCATAATCATCAGCTGCATCATCATCAGACGCCGCAGCAGCAGCATCATCATCATCATCAGCATCAGCATCAGCATCAGCATCATCATCATCAGCAGCAGCATCATCATCAGCATCAACATCATGATCATCATCATCATCATCATCATCATCGTCATCATCATCATCATCATCATCATCATCATCATCATCATCATCATCATCATCATCATCATCATCATCATCATCATCATCTTCATCATGATCATCATCATCAGCAGCAGCATCAGCATCGTCAGCATCATCGTCAGCATCATGATCATGATCATCATCATCATCATCATCATCAGCAGCAGCATCAACAGCATCATCATCATCATCATCATCATCATCATCATCATCATCATCATCATCATCATCTTCATCGTCATGAGCATCATCATCATCATCATCATCATCATCATCATCATCATCATCATCACCGACATCATCATCATCATCGTCATCATCACCATCGTCATCGTCATCATCGGCAACGTCATTGTCGGCATCGTCATCGTCGTCATCATCATCATCATCATCAGCAGCAGCAACATCATCATCATCAGCATTAGCATCAGCATCATCATCACTATTGCCGTCATCATCATCGTCATCATCGTCATCAGCATCATCGTCAACATCAGAATTATCATCATCGACGTCAGCATCGTCATCTTCATCGTCAAAATCATCGTCATCATCGTCATCATCATAATCAGCATCAGCATGATCATAGTTGTCGTCACCATCATCGTCATCATCATCAGCAGCAGTATCATCATCATAATCATCATCAGTGTCGTCAACATCGTCATCGTCATCATCATCATCATCATCACAATCATCCCCACCACCATCATCATCATCACTAAGAACACCAACAACAAAAACAGCAACAACAACATCAACAACATCAGTATCCAATACCACCATCACCCCAGCAGCATCACCGTCACCATCAGCATCATTGACATCACCATCATCATCATCGTCGTCGTCATCATCCTCATCATCATCAGCAGCAACATCATCATTTTCAGCATCATCATCACAACCATCATCATCATCAGCATCATCCTCCATCATCACAACCATCATCACAACCATCATCATCATCACAATCATCATCACAACCATAATATCAGCCTCCACCTCCCTCTCGTACAGGGTGGAGCAGGGAGCAGGAAGGAAAGGGGAAGGCGGCAGGGCTTCTCGTCAATCTATTACGTGTTCTGTTATTGTCGCGGGTCCAGGGCGGGAGTCCAGGGGGCACGAGTTAGGGAGGGGTCCACATTCCTCCGGATCTACATGGCATACATGATCTTCCCACCTCCTTCTCCACCTCCTCCTCCTCAAACTCCTCCTCCTCCTCGTCCTTCTCCTCCTCCTCCTCCTCCTCAAACTCCTCCTCCTCCTCCTCCTCCTCTTCTCCTCCTCCTCAGCCCATCCTCCCCCCCCTCCTCCTCCTCCTCCTCCTCCTCCTCCTTCTCCTCCTCCTCCTCCTCCTGCTCCTCCTCCTTCCCCTCCTCTTCCTCCTACTCATTATCCTCCTCCTCCTTCTGTTCCTCCCCCTCCTCCTCTTCGTCCTCCTCCTCCTCCACCTCCACCTCATTCTCCTCCTCCTCGTCCTCCTCCTCAAACTCCTCGCACTCCTCAAACGCCGTTTCCTCCTTCTCCTCCTCCTCCTCCTCCTCCTCCTCTTTTCCTCCTCCTCCTGTTCCTTCTGCTCCTCCTCCTCCTCCTCCTCCTCCTCCTCAAACGCTTCAAACTCTTCCTTCTCCTCTTCCGTCTCTTCATCATCCTCGTGTTCCTTTTCCTCATGCTCCTCCCCCACACCCCGCAGTTCCTGAAACCCCAGACAGGACCCCAAAGCCTCCAGAGATCATGTGGGAGCCCGCAAACAAGCCGACGCCCACTCCCATCATCGTCATCATCATCATCATCATCATCATCATCATCATCATCATCATCATCATCATCATCATCATCATCATGTTCCTGCTCTTCTTCCTCTTCCTCCTCCTCCTCGTTGTCCTCCTCCTCTTCCTCCTACTCCTCCTTCTCCTCTTCTTGTTCCTCTTGCTCTTCCTCCTCCTCATCATCATCAGTATCATCATTCTCCTCCTCCTCCCCCTCATCCTCCTCGTCCTCCTCCTCCTCCTCCTCCTCCTCCTCCTCCTCCTCCTCCTCTTCCTTCTCCGCTTCCTCTTCCTCCTACTCCACGGGTACGCCATGTTTCCGTTCTCGGTCCTCTTGACCTCGTACACTGCGCGGCCCTGACGCGGGGCTGGAAGCCTACGCCTGTGCCTGTCGCCCTACTAGCCCCTTCTCTTTCACAGAAAAGAAAAAACAGGAGAGGACGACGAAGAGCAGGACACGGACGAAGAAAAGGACGAGATCAGGGACGAGGACGTGGGCACTGACGCCGAGCTTCGAAGAACGAAAAGGAGGATCATGCTGCCACGCTCTTTCTTCACTGCCAGAAAAAGGATCGATGTGCACGAAAAGCTGGGCTGCTTCAGGCGAGACTCGCCACGACAACTCCAGAAGTTAAGCACACTAAACTTACGGCACAACTGATAACCACATGTTGCATCACAGCAGGAGGAGGAGGGGAAGAGGAGAAGGAGGAGGAGGAGGAGGAGTTTACCAAAAACGCCAACGGTATGGACAAATATGTCGATCATATACGCCGATTCCTTTTGACTCGAATGGGTCGGAATTTCCCGTTGACGGCGGCAGAAGCAGAAGCACGCCGCTGGGCTCTGCTGCAAAGCCCCTTTCTCACTGCCAGAGCAAGGATCACAGGAGATGCCGGACTGCTTGAAGCAAGCCTCGCCACGAAATGCCGATGATCAGTCTGCCAGACAGCTCCAAAAGCAAAGCCCACTACACTATAGCCCAGTCTGGACACCTGGCCGACAAGAATGCCCAACCTAGCACAACATCTAGCAAGACCACGATGAACACTTCTGAACGGCTCCGCACAGGCAGCACACACACACACAACTTACTGATGCGGCGGTTTCGACAGACACTCTCACTACTGGACGCACTCCTGGTCAGCAAGCGGCTCGCTAACCTACTGACGCTGGCTGGGTAGGGGGAGGCGCTTGACATTCAGCGAACTCCGCTGGGGGCGCCACCTTCGAGAGAACTGTGGAGGGGCCCAGTAGCGAAGCCGCGGCCCTGCCAATCGTGGCATCGCCGCGAGAGGGCGCCAGGGGGCCACTGGCAATTCCCTGGTGCGAAGCGCGCGCATTTGCGCCATCTGGTCTTTGCTGGCAGAAAAGCCAGTCGCAACTACCCGAGTATATGAGAGCGAAACAAGCTGTGATATCACAGGCTCACGCCACAACAGCGAAGACTCCGCTTTCTCCAAGAACGCTGGAGCACCACGCCGAACGCAAGCTTTGACGACACGCTGGGCACAAGGGCCAGGTTGCCGACCTGCACCCGCCCGTCGGCCGCGGCATCTAGCAGGGGTCGGCCATAGATGCGATCAGCAGCGCGGCGCCAGCCTGTCTTGGCTATGAAACCAGATGGAACGACGCCAGGAAGATGCCTCTGACAAGGCCAGCTCCGACCCACGCAGTCAGCATCACAAACTGATGACGAAGATGCGCCTGAGGCTGGGCCAATGGCGATATTTTGCGGCATCCACTATAAACCATAACACTGTTGGATATCCTTTCTGATGCCGCCCTCGCCAGAGAAAAAAGCGAGCGCAATCTGGCGGCGCCCCATCTTGGCGGGCGCGGCCATGGCCTCCTGCATCGCGAGCTGCAAGCACCTCCGTAAGGCCATCCTACTAAACGCCTCCTTTGCTTGGCCGGCGTCGCCCGCGATCCAATAGCGGCCCCGGGCGGGCTCGGCAAGCTCCAGCGGCCGTTCAGCAGGTCTGCCAGCCGGCGCTCGACCAGCTCGCCGCAGCCCACCAGCGGCGGCTTCGGGGCCTCGGCCAACTCGGCGAAGTAACGAGACCGGCGAGCGCACCGACGCGTCGAGGATTGGTCTGGCGCCGAAGTCGCACCTGCACATCGGCCATGCCCCGCCCCCCCCTTTCGCGCCCGCGCCGGCCGCTCCGTGCCCCACCCGGCACGGGCGGGCGATCGGCATGCCGAGGGAAGCGAACTGCTGCTTGAACGCCCGCTGAAACTAGCCCGCGCCGACTACAGCTGCTCGGTCGGCGCCCGCGTCGCCCGCAGGCGCGCCAGCGCGTTGCCCGCGGCCGCGGACATCGAGCTGCGGAACACCACGCCCTCGTCGAAATTGCCGGTCTTGCTGCGCACTTCCCGCTCGTCTGGGCACATCAGAAGTTCCCAGCACCTGGGCGCGCCAGCGGGGGAGATCAAGCACGCCCCCGCCAGACGGACCAAGTCGCATGGGAGCGAGGCAGCAGTCCCAGCTCAGGGCCAGAGCCTGGGCTAGCTCGAGGCGGCCGGTCGCAGCCGCCAGGCCCATAGCAAGGAACATGGCGGGCCGAGGCAGCGGCGGCCGAGCGCATCCTGGCGCCAGCCGCTCGACCTCCGCACGGCGGCGCTGGCAAGCGGCATCGACCGCGAATCGCCCAGCGGCGGGGCCGCGGCAATTGCCTTCCCCCTCTCGTCGCGGCCGTGCCCCGCCAGGAAGAGGTTGTCCAAGCACTCGCTCGCTGATCGCCGCGTCCGCCACCGCCGCGGTCGTCAGGGAGAGGCGATGGACCCGGCAGAAAGCCGACAGCTCTTCCCCTCGCGCTCGAAGCTCCTGCGGCTCGCGTCGGAGATCTCCCGGCGCCGGAGGCGGGCGAGGCCCCTCCGCGCAGCGCCCCGCCTCGCCCGGGCGCGCCGCGCCACCCGACAACGGCCTCTCGCCATCCTCGGGGCTAGGCTCGGAGCCGCTCGCTTGGGCAGCGGCGCTGTCGGCCTCGCTAAACCCGGCCTCGCGCTCGCCGCCGTCGCCGGAGGAGTCGCTGGAGCCGCCATCCTCAATGCCCGAGCACACTGCCGAACTGACGACCCAGATGGCGGCGTTGCCAGCGCCCCCGAGGGTCGCCCTGGAGTTCGCCCCCCAGGAGGAGCCGGCCACGGCCGCTGGCGCGAGGCCCCCGCCGCCCAAGGCCGCGGTCGGCCTCGGCCACAGTCGCGTGCACGACCCCTTCTGACTGGCACGGGTTGTTTTCTCTGTCTGCATTCTGCCAGCGGACGAGGGCGTCGACCTCAGCAGCGAGCCCGTCGCCACCGACCACGGCGCGTCGGCCCGGGCCGCCGCAACGTGTCTCGAATCACCTCGAGGGTCGCGGACTGGGCCAGAAGCCATGCGAGACGGACTATCGGACGGATGATGTTCTGATGGGATCTACCTTGGAGCGAAGACAAAGTTGGTGAATGTGCTGAAAGCAATGAATAGCTGATGACCTGCCCTTCCCCATAGCCAGTAATTGTCCCAGATTATCTACGAGCATGACGTGACGGCGACGGCGCGAGGCGACGCGACGAAGCCGATGCGCGGCTGCCACCAGTGACGCACACCCCTCGAATACCACGATATCGTCCGTTACGTTGAACCACCTTCGGACTCACAGCTGCCAGTCTGACGCACTGGCGATCAGATCGCTAGAGACTAGCTGAAAGACGAGCTGCCGCACCGAGCGCAGCGCCGCTGGGCGGCCGCGGCTGCGACGCCGAGCCACTGGGCCATCTGGCGGGCCGCGAAGCTCGACTGCTCAGCACTCGACGAGCTCAGGCAAGACGCGGTGCTCTACGACCCCAAAGCCGCCGAAGTCGCCGTTCCTGCCAGCGCCAGAAGCGCTCGCGGACATGACCGCGCGGTCGGTCACCGCTCTCGCGCCCGCGAAACTGACCACCACGAGAGAGGAGGCCCAGAAAAGCCCCCGCCGCACTCGGGCCCACAGTCGCCGACGCTGCCCACCAGACCAACGACAGAAAGCGCAGGCAGACTGCAGGATCGACGGAAGACCTTAACCGAGGCGGCCCTGGTGAAGTCGCCGCCGACGCGCAGCAATCCGTCGCCGGCGCAATGGCCCTTGGACAAAACGCCCCGCATCGCCAGCCTCTCGCACCAAGGCCGCTCTCGGCACGCTCCAACGCGACCGGCGTCGCGCTCATTGACCAGACCCGTGAACTGCCGTTCCGCGGCGGGCTCAACAATGCCGTCGCACGCGAGACCCTGGCGCTCGAGGTCGGCAACGATGTCCGAGCAGATGCTGGCGCAACGATCACTGTCAGAGCCGACGACGGCGACGTTCTCGACGTAGAGGCCACTGAAGGGCTCGCACAGGGGCCCTGGCTGCTCCCCGCGCCTCAGCAGGCGGTGCTCGGGGAACCCGCACCGCGGCGCGCTCGCCCCCGGGGGCTCCGGGCAGACATGCAAACTCCAGGCCCACCCCGTCGGCGACACCTGAAGCCGAGGAGAGCTGAACACGGCATGCAGTCCAGCCTCCAATCCTGGCCGACGCGACTTCAAAGTGGGCAAACGAGCTTTGGGGTTGTGAAATGGTCGGAACTGCTGGTCGCCAACCCTATTGTGTAGAAAGCATCGTCCACATCGGCCTGCGCCGCGCACGCCTGCTCGCCGATGCCCGTCGTCCCGCGGGCCCGCGCGGCCGCGGCCAAAGCTCGCCATACTTAGGTGCTTCAGAAGGATCGTGAACTGCGCCAACGTCCAGGTTAAGACGCATTTGCCTGCGATGCGCCTTCCGGAAGAAAAATGCCCCGAGGGCAGGGTCTGGCGGCACGCCCAGCGCGACGAGCCCAACGTCGAAGTGCTTAAAGAAGAACTGAGCGCAGACGCGTCTACACCGCAAACACGGGTCAACATGCGGCTTAATCTTGCCGGCCTGGACGTCGCTCGCACTCCGCTAGAGCCGCGCGCGCCAGCGCGCCCCGTTGTCCAGCGCCTCGCCGACCAGGGGCACTGGGGAATCGCGCTGTGGGCCGGGCGAGGGCGTGAGACCAACTCCCTTTGGCACTTGGCTTTGGGCCCAGAGTCAACGTCGTCGCACCCAGGGGCGGGGCCGCACAGCCCCGACCCGCGGCCCCCTCCGCGGGTCTGCGCGCCCTCGCCGCCCCTCTCCTGCATCAGCGCCTGCATCTTGCGCACCTCCCCCGCCTGCTGCCGCACCTTCTTCTGGAGGGACGCCACGCTGTCGCCGCCGCCGCCAGAGCCAGCGCCAGGCCGCGCCAGGGACCTCTCCTCCTTCACCTTCCTCTTCCCCTTGAGCATCTGAACCTCGCGATGGAGTTCCGCGTCGACGTGGCCTTGCAACTCGTGGGGGGATCATCAGCGATACTCCTGTCTCCTCCACGCTCATGTAAAGAAGGGGTCCTCCAGGACATCGTCGGATTGCCGACCGAGGTCGCGACCCCTGTGGCGCCGCTCTGCCATCTGCGCTCTCCTGGCCAGCAACTCCACGCAGGCCAAATCGTTTTTGGCGAGCTTGTCGTAGCACAGGGCCGCCTCCCAGACCCGCACGACCAGGTCAAGGTTGGAGTCCGCTCTCGTGGACCCACTCAGCATGCCAGGCCCGAGAATGCTGATCCTGCTGGGCCAACAATTTGAGGCACCGAACTGTCGTGCGCGGGCCGAAGATCGGCCAGCCCACCCAAATCGAAACCGTGATCGCGCGGACCGCCTCGCACAAGTGACGATGAGTCACGGCACCAGGCCCCGTCTCCACAGCAAGCACTCTGGCATCGATCTCTCCGCCATCCCCTGGGTTTGCTGGCTCGACAGCATGCAGGATGAGGATGGAGGAGCCGAGGCGCACCCAAGCGAAGTCCCCCATTTCAGCGAAAACGTCTTACCGTGTGCGTGCAGATCGGCTGCTTGATGGGCGTGGTGTCCGTAGCTTTGATCACGAACCAGTTGGGCGGCTTTACGGATGGCAGCGTACCTTGGCCGACCTCGCGCGTGCTGATCGGCTGATAAATTGGCGTGGTGCCTGCAGCTTTCATCACGAACCCATCGGGCGACTTCACAGTTAGCAGCGTGACCTGGCCGACCTCGCGCGTGCTGAACGGCTGATGGCTTGGCGTGGCGTCTGCAGCTTCGATCACGAACCCACCGGGCAACTTCACAGTTGGTAGCGTGACCTGGCCTAGACAGGCGCGCTCCACTACTTGCAAAGTACCTACTCGCAAATGATGTGGATCCGCCGCGGGAAATCTACGGTAAATTTTATCGAAGCAAGCACATGCTTTTCGGACGTTCGCGAGCAGGCACTCTGCCAGTAGTGGAACGCGCTCGATGACGGCCGACCTCGACGCCACTCGCTGCTGATGCGGCTGCCGCGCGCCCGACGCGCAGAAGAGTCGCTGCCCCTGCGCCGCCATTCATTGTGGCGCCGCCGTGCCCCCTTAGCTCAGACTCCGCAGTCTCGCTCTCGCTCTGGACGTCCTCGGCGTTCACCTGCGACTCGCGCTAACGCTCGAGACTTCCTCGAGACTCCTGCCGGCTTGGCACTTCCGCGGCCCGCCGGTTCGACCCGGCCGTCCGTCCGTGCCCGCCCCGCCCGACCTGCCCGTTCGGGCCCGCCCGTCCCACCGGTCCATCGGGTCCTGCCGCTTGCACTCCTGCTTCCAACCCCCGCGGCCCCGCCGCTCGTCGGACCTCCTGGAGCGCGCCCGCGGAGCTCAGGGCCTCGGCTGGCGCTGTCTGGCCCCACCGGTCGCCGCGCACCGCACTCCGACCCGTCCACTGCGCCCCACCTGCCGACCCGCGAGGCGGCTGTGCCGAGCTGCATACAGGGCAGTTTGTAATACGTGGGGTTTTTAACAATATATATGTTTTTAAATACATTATTAATGCATGAATGAATTTATGCATGAACTCATCGTTGCTTTTTATACTACATCCCTGCATTTTCGATACATAATCCGCACGCGGAGCACGCATTCAAAACGGTACTGTATCAGGATGATGTCGCCCAGCGGCGGGCAGCACAGCAGGCGCGGGTGCACGCCGAAGCCTGGCGTGAGGTCGCACCGGGCCCGGCGCGCGAGCGCTCGGTTCGCTGTCGGTCGGATCCCGAGCTCGTGCTCGCACTTGTCAAAACGCCGCGCGGGCGCAGGAGCACCCGAGCCTGCCAAGGCTCTCCGCGACGTCGTGGGACGTACGCCTTGCGCCCACACTCCATTTCGGCGCCAAAACAACAAGTACAGCAGCAGCACGCGCTTGTAATGAAGACCAGGAGCAGGGCGCTCTCGACGCCTCCGAACGTTTGCCCGATGAAGCAAAGGTGGCGGCCTGGTCCGCCGCAAAACTGAGATACTCTGCAACACCACATACGCTTGGCCCCCACGTGTCGAAGGCGCTCTTACTGCAAATGAAGATGGCAAATAGGATCGGCATCTGGGCCACCTGAAAAGCTTGAGCGAAAAACGCCAATGGAACGGACTGCTATGGCGATCACCCAAACCGACCCCATGTGGCTGAAATTGGTCGGTATTTTCCATTGGCAGCGGCAGCAGCAGGAGCATGCAGCAACATTGTTCAAAGACCGTAGACTCGGAGGAGCCGCATCAAGAGGGGCATGGGGGGAGAAGGGAGAGGGCAAGCCAAGTGCTCTCGCGCCAGATCTGACAGCCTATCCGTCCCACCCATCCCTTTCTATTGCGCTGAATATTCTAAATCTGGCGTCGGGTGCCATAGCGGACCTGGAGAACCCTCAAGGACCACATTGTGTTAAGTGCAGTCCAAAAAAGGGAACTGTGTACATCAGAGGTTGTGGAGGAGGAGGAGGAGGAAGAGGAGGAGGCGGAGGAGGAGAAGGCGGATGAGCAAGAAGATGAGCAGGAGGAACAGGATGAGGATGAGAAGGGAGAAGGTCGAGGATGAACAGCAGCAGCAGGAGCAGGAGGAGCGGGAGGAAGAGGAGGACCAGCAGGCGGTGGAGGATGGGAAAGGAGCGAGGCGATGACGACGATGAAGAACCCAGATCCAGAACTGTGGCCCGCGCTGGGAGGAGAGCGCCGTGTGAACGACGGGAGCACAGCGTCGCATCCTGAAACGAGGCCAACGCTGCAGCGAGAGCACCATGTCAAAGAACACAAGAACAGTACAATCGAAGGAAAGGCAAAAAAAAACACCTTCTGAAATCCGATACGCTGTCAACCATCATACGCGGGAGAAAGTAAGCCACGCTCGGGCTGCGCAGCTCTACACAATGTGGCACCCACGGTGCAACTGTACAGGGAGGAGAAGGAGCAGGAGGCGTGAATCGGGTGCTGCCAGAAGTGCCCCTGGTTTTGAGGTGTCCCCAGCTTTGCGCTCCATGTTGGAGCCCCTGGGGCCCCCATGGGCCTCGTGGGGGGTGCTCTGGAGGCCGTGGGAGCCTCCCTGGATATCCTGGGGTTACCTTGGGCCAGGGGCATGTCTAGCAACACTGGAAGGAGTGAGACCCCTGCCCCAGACCTGGACCACGTGGAAGTTGTCGCCATGCCCCAGCGAGTCCAGCACGGTGGCCTGCTCGGACTTCACGATGGCAGCCAGGCGGGCGTGCACGCTCGCGACGGTGCTTCCCCAGACGGCGGCAGGCGTGTCCACGGAGTCCACCATCTCCTCCGAGGCAAGGCATCGGGCTGCTGCGGGGGACACTGTGCGGGTCACGATATGCGACCTCAGCTGTGTTTCCAGAGATGGCGGCGTAATATGCCACAACGGCTCAAAGCTGCCCAGCTTGTCGAGACCAAATCAGGGTAATCACCCTGGCTGGGATAGTTCTGAAGCCAGCGGGGGGGCGTGGGAACCATGCCTTAGGCAGACTTAAACGAAATGTCGCTTGCTTTAGAAGACGACCATGCGGCATAACCATAAACTGGAGATCCGTGCGGATTCCTTGGATCTGCGCTGAATCCCCCCTCCCTGGCGCGCGGAGCACGCCTTGGGCGGCGCCAGAAGCGCCGCCAGGGGGGCCAGCGCCGATACAAGAAATCCGCGCGGGGCTCTCAAAGTTTTTGTCAATGCAGTCCTCTTCGACTCTTCCCCGCAAGGCCCGAAAACGATCCCCCGGAGGCCAAAAAGGGAAAGACCAAAGAACAAAACAAAAAACTCCCGAACCCAGAATCACGAAACTGGCACCCCCGTCCTGCTCGCTGGAATGCAGGGCCACCTCAGACCCCCAGCAGACTCCAAGTTGAGGAAGGCTCAAGCGTTATGTTCGGGGACAGAGCCCCCTTTAGCAAAACGTGGTTTAGGGAAAACGACCTCGGGCCCAAACCTGGCGGGCGCAAGCCTGGAAGATGCCGGCCGCGGCGCCCCCTCGAGATGCGAAAACGGACAATTCGCTGAACGACGTGTCAGGGTGGGGGTTCTGTCCACCCCCGACATGTCGCTTTCTTCCCCTTTTCCTCCTCCTCCTCCTCCTCCTCCTCCTCCTCCTCCTCCTCCTCCTCCTCCTCCTCCTCCCCCTCCCTCCCGCTCAGACGCAGACATCCGGCGTCCTGAAAGCATCAAGCGGAGGTGCTGGGCAGCGTTCGGCGGCAGGGGAGGCGGCACTCCGGGCCCGGGGCCGCAATGACACTGCTCGGGATGAGAGGCCGGGCTCCCAGGGAGCGATCGGACGGTCCAGGACATTGGAGGTCTGAACAATCAAGACATTGGAGGTCTGAAGATCTGGGCGTAATGGAAGAACAAAACAAACACACGAACAAACGAACCAAAACTGCTGGCCTGTTTGCCTGGTCTTGGGACCCCACGTGACGGCCCAGCCTGGGTGCCGCAGGATTCTGGGGTCGAGAGGTCGGGGTGTGACTCCCCACGGCTGCGTGAATTTCCGCGACATCGGATCTCCGGGTCTCCTCCAGCGTCAAGGTGGCATTGTAGGCGTCGTTGACTGCCTGCGGGGTTTGGGGTGCGTATCGACCCATGTTTCCGCCGAAGCCGAGCGCGAGACCCCAAAGGACAGGCCCGTGGAAGGCATCGCTTCAAAAGCTGCACTGCATGCCACCGCGTTGCTCCGTGCTGGCAGTCCGCCATTGGACTTCGGGAGGCAGACGTCTGCACCATGCAGGTGAGAAGGCGGTGAGCTTGACTCGGGTGCAAAAACTCACTGGTGGACCACTCGGGGACCGCCCTCCGCACGCCAGAGCTGGCCCGCTGCTGAAATTTGCGCCACCGCGCCTCGAGGCACGAGCTGGGGGTGTCCTCAGAGGTCCTTAAGAGTCCTCTGTACTGACCGCTGTAAGGCTCGGCACGGGGCCCACAGCCTGGAGCTCTGGGCGGTATTTCGGCTACACGCAGGAGTGACCCTGGGTAAGAGTGACCTTTGGTGCGCGGCTTTTTGGGGGGCCGCGGGGGGACCAAACCTGGGCGCGCGAGCCGCTGCTCCTGCTCCGTTTTCGGCCATCTGGGGGCCCATCTGTGCCCGCACCAAAGGTCACTCCGGCGAAAGGTCACTCTTACGTCTAGTCGAACCTTGGGCGCTTCTGGGACGTGGCTTGTCGCTGGACTTGTTGGATGCAAGGGGGGGGGGCCCAGGACGGGCCAAGAGGGCCCCGAGAAGCCCCCAAGACGGTCCAACGGGGCCCCGAGTCGCCCGAAGACTCCGAGACGCCCAAGATGGCCTCCGGAGCCTACTCGTTTGTCGCAGCGATATGGGTCACACTGCGTTCGGGCTAGAGCAAGCCGCGGACTGGCAAATCGTGCACCTGCGCCACGGGAAAAGTAAAAGAAAGCGGCCGCGAAGGAGGAGACAGCGGGAGGCGCGGTCAGAACAAGACGTACTTGCTGCGCGGCGCTGGAAGCCTCAGGGTCCACGAAGAAATCGTGCAAAGGGGGCTACATCTGGGCTGGCCCAAAAAAATCCTAGCCGTGATACTCCGAAGCGCATCGAAGTCAGCGCAAGCCCTGCCGGGGGTACAGTGGGCCTGTTTCACGAGACGCGCGGAGACGCTGCTCGACCAGGCCCGAGATCTCGGGCCGGCCGCGGGGCAAAGAGAGCGCGGCACGTGCGCGGGAGACGCCTGGGAGACGGACAGTGCAAAGGCCAAGCAAGCGACCAGAGGGAGCGACGGCAGTCGGGAGCGGCCAAGAGGGGGGTGTCCAAGAGGGGGGGGGGGGGGGGGGGGGGGGCGAATCATGACCTGCGGCATGTGCGCGGCCCAGCGGGGGGGCCTGGGACGTAATGAAATAAGAAGAGGCGCCATGAAATCTGGGGAAATATCATGGCCCGCGCCATGAAATCCACCCCCCTAGTCATCACCCCCCTCTTTTCCGCCCCCGAACCAGAGGGAGCGACGGCAGGGTCGGCCAACATCGAACGGGGGAATCCGATAGAATCGGAACGTGCGTCGGATCGGGCCGCCTCGGCACGGAGCCGAGACCGTAGCCGATCGGCCGCGCCGAGCTGCACAGCGGCGCCGCGCGAGCATCGGGCTGCGTCGCAGCACCGTCGGCATACTGTTAGGTCGGGCATGTCCCCCTACGGGCGGATCTTGGACGAAAAAAGCAATCAAAAAGTGCTTCCAAAATGGTCAAAAATAGGCCAAAATTCGTCCCAGGACTGTTTTTGCTGCTATCTTTGAACATTCCTCCTGTAGAGGAACACGCCCGACTCAAGCATACTGGGGCCGAATCGGATCGGGCTGGCCGGAACCGCTGCCGAACCGGACCGACCGCAGCTTTGTGGATGCCACGGCACTGAACACTCTCACAATCCTATCACTGAACTGAAGATGCGGTTGAAATGAGTAAAACATGGTCTAACAATGTTTCAAGCATGTATTCAACATATTTAAAAACATCTTTTAGACGTCTGGAAATGATTCGGCAGCATACTTCCTCTCCATTAATCCACTTCCACAACCGCAGCGAGATGGACGCCGACGCCGGCGGGGCGCAGCGAGGGAGCGAGGACGAGAGCAGGCGCAGAGAGAGCGAAGCGAGCGGCCGGGCGAGAGCAGGGCGCCAGAGCGTGGAGCGGCCCCCGGGGCGCCACGGCTCGGGGCGCGGGGGCGCGGGGGCGCGTGGGCGCGGTGAACCGTGCGCCGCCACGCGGAGTGGCGCGAGAGGAGGGGGCAAGGTCTAGGCCGGGCATGTCCCCTTACAGGCGGATCTTGGACGAGCAAGATACCAGATACCACCAAACAAAGAGCCCAAGAGCAACCAAAAATGGCCCCAAAAGTCGCCCCCAGACTATGTTTTGACCACTTTTGAACCTTCCTCTGGCCATCGCTCGGACGTCCATTCCATGTGCTTTTTGTCGGTGTCGTGCGTGGCTTCTTCGCCAAATAATCAAGGATGCTCCTCGATGCTCCCCGCCGAAGGAAAAATGCACACGTCCGAGCGATGCCAAGTCCTCCTGTCGCAAGGAGCCGCCGCCGTGCTGCCGCGAGGAGCGCGGCAGGAGGAGCGAGAGGGGGACTCTCCTGGCCCCGGCGATGCCGCGGCCACGGCCCGGCTCCAGGAGGCACACGGCCCTGAGGAGCGGCCCGTGAAGGCCCGAGCCTGTCCTGAGCCTTGTCTCAGCGTCGTGACTTCCGCTCCCTCCCCCCCATCCACCCACCCACCCACCCACCCGTCCTCCTCCTCCTCCTCCTCCTCCTCCTCCTCCTCCTCCTCCTCTCCTCCTCCTCCTCCTCCTCCTCCTCCTCCTCCTCCTCCTCCTCCTCCTCCTCCTCCTCCTCCTCCTCCTCCTCCTCCTCCTCCTCCTCCCCTCCTCCTCCTCCTCCTCCTCCTCCTCCTCCTCTCCTCCTGCCTCCTCCTCCTCCTCCTCCTCCTCCTCCTCCTCCTCCTCCTCCTCCTCATCCTCCTCCTCCTCCTCCTCCTCCTCCTCCTCCTCCTCCTCCTCCTCCTCCTCCTCCTCCTCCTCCTCTCATCCTCCCTCCTCCTCCTCCCTCCTACTCCTCCCCTCCTCCTCCTCCTCCCCCTCCACATTTACTCAATATGAATACTACCCTCCCTCTTCCCCTGATGACGGCTTGAAAGTATCCGACCCCCCGCCGCGTACTGTTTTTTACACACAGGTTTCCCCGGAGTTGGGTTTTCGCCTGCATTTGTTTTCAAAATCCTGCTCTCGCTGAGGCGCCAGCCTCATTTTCGGGCCCCGCTCCTTCCGAATCGTGCTCCCGCTGCAGCGCAGGCCTCATTTCCGCCGGCGCCCAGGCTGCACGCCCGAGCCGGCGCCCGGGCCAGCGCTCGGGCCAGGTCCGGAGCCGGTTCCGGCCGGCGCCGGAAAATCGAGTTCCAAGGCGGCACCGAAAAAAGGCCATTCTAATACACATTTTTCTTGTGAAAATGCTGAATTTCTGCTTCCGGCGCCCGGGAGGCCTCCCGGGCCGATTCCGACGCCCGGGCCGGCGCCCGAGCCGGCGCCTGGGCCAGACGCCCGAGCCGGCGCCCGGGCCGGGTCAGGAGCCGGTTCCGGCCGGCGCCGGAAAATCGAGTTCCAAGGCGACGCCGAAAAAAGGCCATTCCAATACACATTTTTCTTTTGAAAATGCTGAATTTCTGCTTCTGGCGCCCGGACCCGGGCCGATTCCGGCGTGCTTCCGCTCGTTCCGAATCGTGCTCCCGCTGCAGCGCTGGCCTCATTTCCGCGATTCCGCTCGTTTCGACTCGTGCTCCCGCTGCAGCGCTGGCGTCATTTCCCGTGCCATGCCGCGGCGTGCAATGCAATGCTAGGTTGATACTACGCTTCGCGGTGCTCTTCTACGCCATGCCATGCCGTGCTCTACACATCGCGTCCCCTCTCGGGATCATTGCCCTGCTCGACATCCGACTGTGCGAGTAGAGAGGGGATCTGCGCCATGGTAAGGGATGGGAGGGAGGGGTAGGATGTCAGATATGACGCGAGCGCACCTAGCTTGTCCCCTCCCCCTCCTCCTCCTCCTCCTCCTCCTCCTCCTCCTCCTCCTCCTCCTCCTCCTCCTCCTCCTCCTCCTCCTCCTCCTCCTCCTCCTCCTCCTCCTCCTCCTCCTCCTCTTCCTCCTCCTCCTCCTCCTCCTCCTCCCCCTCCTCCCCCACCTCCTACCCCCTCCTTCCCCCGTCTCCCTCCCTTCTGTTGCATGCTTCCGAATTCCCACTTCCAGATTCTGCTCACGCTTCATATCTGCTGCCTGGCTGGCAGTCGACTTGTACGCCCGTGCCCTGCACAGGGCCGAGCAGCCGACAGGCATGCTCGCGTGGTTCGTTCGCTCTGCCCTGTCCCTCCCTCCCGAATGGTGGCACAGCTCGCCACAACGGCACCCCCGTTTGGGCAGCTCTTCGCCAGCGCAGTTGCTCTGCCTGGCCGCCGACGCACAAAGTTTCGGCGTCGTGACTGCACGGCTGATGGACAAAATCCTGCACCACCCGCGCCACCGGGGGTGCCAGCGCAAGCTTCAACGCACCCCCCATGCCCCCCATGCAGTGTTGGTCGGCATCGCCAGCGGGGCGCAGGAATCCGGCCAGTCCACAGATCAACCCATCGCGGCGCAGCCCGCCAATATTGAATTGGGGGCGCGGTGGGTGTTCATAAAAATCACAAGTAGCCTGGCGAAGGGCCCAACCATATGCAGCTGCGAGTACCGCGAGACAGGTGGAAACTGAGGGAAGTGGCTAGCAAAAGGAGTAAGGCGTGCGTGGGGCGGACGGAGCGGCGTTGCTGATGGGGTGGCAGAGGTCGGCCGTAACGGGCTACATCTGGATGTACCCTGTTACGGCTGCTCTCCGCGTCTGTCGGCGCGGCACCGGGGGGCAGCATGCGGCAGTGGCCTGCCACGAAACGTGTGAGGAGTGTGCCGACATGGGCGCGGTTACGTATGCGAGTCCTGTTACTGGAGTCTTCGGTGGAGCCTCAGAGTGGGGCTCGAAACGTGTGAGAGGAGGGCGCGGTCACGCATGCGATTCCTGCCACTTG